GCGCGGGCGGGGAGGGCGAGCGGCGTGGCGTCGGCGACCCGTCCGAGACGCGCTCGGTGTGTAGCAGCCGCAGCAGCAGCAGCGGCGGTGGCGACCAGCGCGCCGGCCACCAGCACCAGCACCACCAGCCCATCTGCAAGATCTGCTTCCAGGGCCCTGAGCAGGTTAGGCCGGGAGGGACCACGGGCAGCTGGCGTTAGCTCCGCTGGGCTGGGCTCGGCTTGGGAATGGGCTGGGTCTCGCCCGCGACGACCGACCTTTCAGCACCGCGGACAGCGCTCGCCTCTCACTTGCACCGCTGGGTGGCTTGTCTGGTCCCGCCAACTGAAAAGCGTCTGTCTACTCTGTGCCGCCTTTCCCTTTCCGTGAAGGCTGGTAAAAAGGTCCCGGTGGCGAATACAGGGTTTCATTTGATCTATACTCCCCCCCGCCCCATTTGGTTTTGCAGTTACACATTCCTCAGGTGCTTTAATGAAAATGCCATAAGTATCTCTTATTTACGAAATGGATTTTGGTTCATACATAAAAACGAACCTACATCCCTTTTCTACAAAAGTATCCTGAGGCAGATCGCCTTAGAATACAAGCTGGGGTGAGTCATGTCAAAACCAAAAGGGCAGCATCTTTCCATATTGCAAATTTGGAGACTTAATCTCAGTGATATAAAAGGGTGTTACAGTTTTACAAGAGAAGTAGGAATGTGCTGTGGCCTTGTGAAAGAAAGGCTATTGAGGCAACCGTGCACTTTATATTTTGTTAGAAACATGATTCTAAAGTATAAACTCCATTAGAGGTGCATGCAACTTATATGAGAGTCCTCATAGAGGCAGCAGGATAATATATCTCTCTTACAAAATGTGCGGTCTGAGGAAACATTAGGTTTAATATTTTTACAAGTAAGGAAATTGCATACGAATACGCAGGCTTTCAGGAACATAGTGCCCTAAGTCAATATTTATGATGCTACATTTAGAAAAAAATAAAAGCATAATGCTATTGCAAGCTACTTTCTGGGATGCCATGCATTTCTTCTTTAGCAATGATTAAGAATAACTGCAGAGGAAATGCATCTGACCATCCACTTAAAAGTTATTAAAGAGATTTAATAGTACAGCTTTCTCCCAAGGGTTTAAGGAGCTACATCTTGCAGACATTTTGTATGTAGTTAGAACATTTATGTCATAACTCTAAGCAATATCTTTGAAATAGTTTTAAGACTTTAGTTTTATTCCTATCAGAGGTATAAAAATTTAATTTCATTTTCCAGGATAGATTTTTATGCCTGTATTCTTCTGGGTAAATGGCGTTGAAAGAAAACAAGTGTTATGTTTTTAAAATAGAGACATAAGCATAAATATTTATACTAACCTGTTTTCTTTTCAGGGGGAGCTGTTGAACCCCTGCCGATGTGATGGGTCGGTTCGATATACACATCAGCTGTGCCTGCTGAAGTGGATCAGTGAGAGGGGGTCCTGGACCTGTGAGCTCTGCTGCTATAGATACCATGTCATAGCCATTAAAATGAAACAACCTTGCCAGGTAAACATTTGTGACACTTTTTTTTTTCTGCACTAATTTTGCTAAACCTAAGTGCACTTAAGTTTTGTTATTTCTAGGAATATTTTACATATGCTACTTAAAAACATTTTATGCAAATCTCGGTAAAACCAAGATTTAGAATTTGTAGAGATATACTTTGAGAAATCTATGAATTTTTGATCTGAGAAACTCAAAAGACATTTTATTCAAATGGTTTCCTCTATGAATTTGTTGTTTACTGATAAATTTAAACCTACCTTTGTTTCTAAAAGGACAAGTTGGTAAAATGTCTTATACTCCAATTAAGTCTACTTTACTAATTAGAAATGTTACATAATTTATTTGAGTAGTGCTTTGTTACTTTAAGCTTTGAAACCCTGGATAGAGTCCATTTATGGAAAACAAATGCAAGTAAAGCAAAACTTTACTAGTCTGGAAATTTTGTTCAAACCTATTATTCAAAGAATAATTATTAGAACCTAGTTCTAATCTGAACACTCTTCATTTAACCAGGCTTTCTTTTTCATATGAATTTTTTTCACAGTTAAATTTTGATTACTTTTATTCTTTGCCGTGATCAACTACGTAGTGGATGCATAAGTATTTCCAAGAGTTACTCTCAGTAATACTACTGAAAAACTTTTTGTGTATAATCACATAATAACACAATAGCCATAAACCTGCAAATAGGCTTTTTTTTTTTTTTTTTGCCATGGAAGAACTGATTTAATCATTTGAAAAGACTGGTGTAATGTAAAATAAGGATGACCTCTTCAACTAAAGCAGAGTAGTATGTAATTGACAAGATCTGGAGACAGGGCACTGATAAGCAGACATAAAAGAGTAGAGTTCAAAGCAGAGACAGAAGAGGTAATGGAAGGGAAAGGAAAAGGGAATTGAAAAGTCAGGAGTCAAGAAAGTCACAAAATCTATTGTTTCTTGTTTCTATTCACATTACCAAAGTTAGTTTGCGTTGAGCTGACCAGTATAAGATAGGTAAAACCGTGTTTGCAGAAGATAACCTGGAAGCTGAATACTACTGCATTCATAATTTAGATTTCATAGGTTTTAATTTGTGCATCCTCACATAATTTGCAATTAATTTGCATCTTTGATAGTCACCATTAAAGGCATGATTAGCAGGCATGAAATGAAAATATGAATTTTCTCAAGCCGACCTAAGGCTTATAAATAATTTGGAAAGAAGAGTAACAATGCAGATGAGTGATGTTATTATGCTGAAGACAGGCATAAACTTGACACATTTTCCTAGAACTTCTAATTGATCGAGCTACTTTGGTATCAACTTATGGATCCATCACAGTTGTCTTGAATAACAGATGGAATCATATCCGAAGACCTAGATATGAGTAGTACAATGGAATGAACAATAATTTTATAAATAGAAATATGTATAGGTGACAAATGGAGAGATTTAGGGCTCCAGTGAAAAGTCCCATGAGAAGAGCTATGGTCAGATGTTCAAGAGCTGAAATAGAATGCTAAGTATTTCAAAAACTTTAACTTATGGCTACTATATATTAATTCATTTGGGGTGATTACTTTTGAAGTAAATAGATATAGGTCCTTGATGTAATTTTTAAAATAGAAAACAGACAAAGGCCTAGGGCAAAAATACAATTTCCTAATTCTATTCCTATAGCAAAATGAATTCATTGCTACTATGTCTTGCTTCATTAAAAAAAAATTTAATAATTATTTTAACCAAAGCAATTTTCCAAACTATGTATATGATATGGCCAAAAAAATCAAAACTAACCACAAGCTAAAATAACAAATTAACCTAGTACTAATAGTACATTTAGGGTTAATTTTATTGCAACGCATGCAAATACTACTATGATCTGTAATCTGATCTGTTTGTTGCAATAAACTAGAAGATAATATTTAGAAACAAAGTTGACGTGACTCTGATGATGATAGCTCAGATCATGCCGGAGAAAATAACTTACTAGCACTACATTATACATATGTAAAGCTCAGTACTCTTTTTTTGTGTGTGTGTTTTCTTGTTGTATTATTTATTTTACCTTTCATGTATACATATATGTATATTACTGAATTAAACTTACTGGGGTGACATTGGTTAGAACATTGTGTAAATTTTAGGCTCAGTACTCTTAATGGACAGAAATCAGTTCAAAGGTTGCTAAACTACTCCTTATACCCAGGAGTAGTTTATTGTCAGATAAAGTTTGACTAATTGTCTGACATTTCTGTTACATATAACCCATCAACTGGGCACTTACTCTGATTTTTGATTTTCTCCCTTGCTGGTATGAGGCCAATTGGATTTAGCATTTATCACATCCATGCTTTAGGGCATAGCAGAGATCCATTTCCTCATGGTGCAGGATCAAATAGGGGGCATGTTATGACCCTCGCCTTCACCTTCATATCCCTCTGTCCTAAGTATAGAGCCTTCCCATAACTTTGAGCAGTGACTTCTTGCATGCAGAACAGAATAGAGAATAAATAATATATTAAGAGAGAACATTTACTGAACACTTACTGTCAGGTACTGTTCTAAGTGCTTTACATATACAGATTCTGATATTTATCTTTCATAACCTGTCAGGCAGGGAATATTATCTCTATTTTACACAAAGGGAAACTGAGACACAGAAAAATTAAGTAACTTGTGCTTTGTATATATTTAGTAAAAGGCAAAGCCAGGATTCAAAATTAGTCTGGTTCTGAGGTCCATGCCCCAAAACTCCTGCAGTAGTAATTCTTAGCCATCGTGTCCCATATTGGAAAGTGTTCTCAACTCCATCATCGCTTCCCTGACATTTCTGGGTCAAGCAGGAACTGATTTCAGCATGGTCTCTCAGACGGTCTAGAAGTGTTATGCAGTGGTTTGCTGCATAACGAACCACTCAAATACTTAGTGATTTAAACAACTGTCATTTCTTATTTCTGAAGAGTTTGGGTTGATTGAGCTCAACTGGGAGGCTCTTCTCCACCTGTGGTATCAGTCTGGAGCTGTGATCACTCAAAACTTTGACTGGATTGAAACATCCAAGAGATCTTACTCATTTGACTCATTCTTGATGCTGGCTGTTGGCCGGAAGCTCGTTCAGGGCTGTCAGCTGATTCCTCAGTTCTCTTTCTATTTGACTTGGATGTTTCACAGCATGATGGTTGGGTTCCAAGAAACTGGAAGTGAAGATCTCTTTAAGGCCCAGCTTTGGAAGTGACAATTTTATGTCTGCTTCACTCTCTTGATTAAAGCAAGTCACAAGACCAACTCAAGAGAAGGGAAAACGGACTCTATATCTGGAGTCTGCCCCCCTCTTTTTTTTTAAAGAGTGGTCATCTTTAATTTACCATAGAGATAGCTTCTAAAATGACTCTGCTTAACTACCCTGGCATCTGTGTTTGGTCCTCATCAGGTCCACATTGGTCAGCAGGTACCTATCACGATTTTCCTCCTAGGGTTCAGAAATAAAGAAAGTTAAAATAATGTGTGGGAGGTTGACTCCACCAGTGGTGCTTGATGCATATCCTCAAATACTTTCAAAAGTGATAAGCACTATGATGTGTCTCTGGTACTCAGAGAGACATGGGGACAGAGAAGGGAAAGGAGCAGTTAGCCAAGAAGCAGGTGTGTTTTTCTCATTGTGATTATCTTTGAAAATTTGAATCCAAACCTCTCCAGTTCATTGGATTTCAGTGATGCTCAACAACATGGCCCAATAGAAAACAGATATATCCTCTATAACATTTAAACCTTAATTGCTGCATCATTAGCAGTAGGAGTTAATTAAGACATTTGAAGTAATTTACATGCATTTACCCTCCTACCTACTTCTAGAACCTATTTTATTGATTAACATATTTAAGATGATGCATTAATGATATTTTAAGAGTAAAAGCTAATTCTGTTTTGAATCTCAGTGTGGTATAAAATTTGTGACATGTCGGGACTTACTTATTTTTAGATGGTGGTGACATTATAAACTAATTAAGCTATGTACAGGTTTGTGAATGCTTTCAGTACTTTGTCAAGAAATACAGATGCTTAAAGAGAACATCTACTAGATAAAGTGCTGTGCAGGAAACTTCAAACTTGCTGTAGGAGACAAACTGCACTACCTAAACAGAGAAAAATATGACGTAAGTGGAAAGTAATAGCTATTATTACCTTCAGAGAGTTGCTTAATTCTAGTGTCTCAGTTAACTCATCTTTAAAAGATAACAATGACACCTATTTTATAAATTATTTTGAGGACTAAATACATAAGTATATGTAAAGTGCTTAGGATAGTGCCTGGCACATAGTAGGTGCCATTTTAATGTTGGCTTTGATTATTATGATGTGTTCAAACAGATGGTGACCTTCGGCGGCTCTGGCAGCAGTGCTCACAGTCCCCCATTTTCTTCAGTGTCTTGTCACCTAAATGAAATTAATGACTCCTCTTTTCAGATCATTCTTTATCCCTGGATTTTTATTCCCTTTTTCTGGGAGATCCCATCTCGATTTCTGACCAAATTTGTTACTGTAAATAATGAATGAGTCAGCATTTTAAAAGTCAGGTGTAAGGAGATATAGTGATTTCAGCACATGGGAACATATTTACTCTCCAGATGTCCCTCCCTGTGGGTCTTTGTTGGAGATCGTAATCGAAGTTATGAGATGCTTTTTTTTTTATGTGTCCAAACACAGAGTGAGGCTATTCAGCCTCCTCAAGCAGCTGTTGTTTATACTTTGGCAGGAGGTGGGGAGGCCCTAGAGATCCATGGAGGACAATCACTAAGGGGCACAGGCAGGTGGCCAAGCTTC